AGAAGGTGCATCAGAGGGCTGTCCAGACTGCATTCATGGATGTATTCCAACAAATGGTGGCTAGTTGTATTCGTTCCATTGCTGCAGTGGCAGAGCACACCACACAGGGGTTAGCCGCGCATTGCAGACAACACAACACCAACAGTATCTCCCAGTCTAGAAAGCTCATAGTCTAGAATGTGGACACAAACCACAGGTGAATAAACTGACAAACAGAAGTGGGAAGGACAAGGTAACAGCAGAGAGAGGTGCATTAGTAGTCACCAGTTTGACCAAGTGACTTTTGGGGCACTTTTGACCAATCTCTGCTCAGCACCGAGGTTACATTAATAGATTCAAAGATGATAATGCAGCAGGGGCCACCGTGATCTCCCAGTCTGACCTCCTGTATAACACAGGCCATAGGACTTCCCTGAAGCTCAACTCACAGACTTCAGGGATTGCTGCTGCTGAAAGCGGACACTCACAGAAACAAGAGACAGTCCGAACCCCTGTTTTTCGCAAGGTAACTTTCAGGCTAGCACATCATCTGCTGTTTTCTTATTGCCTCTTTATTATTATAGCAAATTCTAGTATCTAGTCAGCCCAAAGCATGCACCCTTTGTAGACTGGGAGCTGTAATAAAAGGGATCACAACCTGCTAGTCCTCTCTCTTCCCCTCCCCAGCTCCACTAGATGGCAGCAATTGTGTATCTTTTCCACTTCTTTTTATTGCTCCCATTGTACTTTTGTAAGACACACACTAAGCCAGGAGTAGGCAACCTATGGTGTGCGTGCCAAAGGCAGCACGCGAGCTGTTTCACACTGCCCGGGTCCTGGCCACCAGTTCGGGGGGCTTTGCATTTTAATTTAATTTTAAATGAAGCTTCTTAAACATTTTAAAAACCTTATTTACTTTACATACAAGAGTTTAGTTATATATTATAGACTTATCGAAATGTTAAAATGTATTACTGGCACGCGAAACCTTAAATTAGAGTGAATAAATGAAGACTCGGCGCACCACTTCTGAAAGGTTGCCGACCCCTGCACTAAGCTTTAAGGCAGCCTTTAAGCTGTCCTTTGTGCTGTCGAGTGCCCTTCCCCTCCTGGTAAATAATTGTCTTTATCACAATTTCTAATCAAAGGGCTCTTTCTTATACTCTGCTACTTCTGGAATCTACCCTACAATGATGTCCTGGGGCCACAGCTCCCCACAATTTTCAGGTCCTCCTTCTTTGACCATATTAATCAAGCTGTGACACTCTGGGGACCTGGCTTTCCCAGACCTGAAGAGCTCCGTGTAGCATGAAAGCTTTGTCTCTCTCACCAGCAGAAGCTGGTCCAATAGCAGATATTACCTCACCCACCTTGTCTCTTTTGTATTAATCAAGTGTTTTGTAGAGTGTTTAACATTATTAACTTCTATGGATGTTTGTTGTAATAAAGATTAGTTGGCTTTATCCGTACCCTTAAGTGTTGTTAAGACATGAGTGTACCATCCAATCTGGCCTTTCACTGTCTTGTCTGTCCTGGATGTTTACAATTCTCCCATGTCAGGAAACTGATGACTGGGCTGGGGTTTTCTGTTCTCATCTGTAACCTGACCTGCAAAGTCACAGCTAAGGACAAAATCTGAAAGAAATTTCCACACACAAGTTATTCTGGCCAATGTGATGACAGACATGTGACACAATGTTTGACTCACTAGCTCCCTGGATTCTCCTTTTTGGGAGGGGGGGGAAAATCACAAATTAGTATAGTAACAATAACTAGCTCTTATAGAGTCCTTGTCAACAGTAAATCTCAAAGCATTTTATAAAGGAGGTCAGTATCATTACCCCTATTTTACAGATGAGAAAACTGAGGCACATAGAGCACAGGTGACTTGCTAAGGTCACCCAGCAGCAATAGACGCCAGCTCTCCTGCATGCAGGCCAGTTTCCTATCCACGAGACCACACTGCCAAGGGAATTGTTCCTAAAGAGGTACAACTGCTGTGGGTCTTTTTTTCTTCCCCTAGAGGATGTTATATGTCTGATGAAACTGAAAGGCTGACACACACTTGCCTTAAGCACTATATCCTCCTTCCCCATACATCATACTGCCTTGGCAAAGCTATTGAATAAAGCCTTGATGTGCACATGACTCTGCGCATCTCACTAAGCCTCTATTGAGAGCCTCTGCTTCTAACTTACATCTAGAAGGTGCACTAGTGCTTGCAGTGCAATTCAGGGGAGTTAGTTTCATGGCGTCTCAACCCTCTTGTGAGCCAAGGTGGCCGCTGTAGACATCTAACTAACTTGGGGGATCAGAAGTCTCTTGGAAATACAATGTGATTCATAATTACCCTTTTTCTAGACACTATGTCACTGTTCAGAGACCCCACTAATAATTAAACTGAGCCCCTACAGTAGCTGTAAGAGGGTTACCTGCCAAGCTATTCTGGGAACAGACGAAACTAGAGCTGGTCTCAAGACACAAAATTCAGCTCCAACAGCCCCAGGCTTGCAGGCTCTGTCTGTAGAAAGCCCCTCCCAGGTGGGGAAAGTAGGCAACTGATAACAGTGAGTCAGGAAAACCCACTTAACCCTTTCCCTTCACTGAGGACTCAGACCTGTTAGCTGGGCAAGTGGTTTCAGATTAACATTGTCAGCCTGTCACTGGGCTGTTTCACATGCTTTCCTCAGCAGTTCTTAATAGACGCTCCCTCAGAATCCCACAGGATTTGTATCTCTATGAATGATATGGGGTGGAATTGTGCTCACTCACACAGAGCTTAAGTACATGTGAAATGTACAGGTGACCTACAGGAGTTTGAGGCCCTCTAGCCCTTTAAGTAGTGAACAGAGAAGATGCACAGCTGGGCTGTCTGCAATGTACACCACGTTCACTGGGACGGGAACCAGTTGATCAGCACAGTTCACTGCCAATGCCCTTTCCCATCCCCAGCCTGTCCCCTGTCCCAGAGCCCCTCCCTGGTGCCATAGAAAGATGTTTTGGCAGTGTTCCATGGTACACCGGGGCACAGATTCCCCTCTTTTAGGGCCTCCTGCCAGGGTTTCTTTGGCCTGGTCTACACTAGAAGGTTATGTCGAATTTAGCAGCGTTAAATCGAATTAACCCTGCACCCGTCCACACAACGAAGCTATTTAGTTCGACATAGAGGTCTCTTAAATTCGATTTCTGTACTCCTCCCCAACGAGGGTAGTAGCGCTAAATTTGACATGGCCAGAGAAAGCTTTGTGGATTCACAAAGTCGAATTACTGTCCTTAGTGTGGATACACACGTTCGACTTTGTAATATCGATTCCAAATATTCGATTTAAGTACAATCGAACTACTCTCGATTGTGTAGACATACCCTAAGTCACACAAGCAGCGCAGGAAGCTGTTATTCTTAGTCCCTGCAATTGCTCCAGCCAAACCGCAGCCATGGAACACAGACGAGGCATCGTCTTCTAGCAATCAATGATTCTATTCCGTTCAAGTCACAAGAGGAAATGGGAAGAAAGGATCTCTCAGAAAAGCTGAGATATTTAAACCTGTTTAAATCCTAGGAACCAATGTTATCTCCCTCCTTTTTAAAGTCCTGGTGCCAGTGGTCTCATGAGGTGACTTTAATGGGAGCAGAACCCCTGCGCCCAATGCAGGTGCGAATTGAGGGGAGGAATTCCTCATCCACTGCAGCCCCTATATGCCATGCAAGCATCATAAACCCCGCAGCCAGTGTATCAGGGGAGTGGAGGCGGTTCATTGTCGGGGGAGTCTGGAGTGCTCAGAGCTACAGAGATTCTGTGCTGCTATAGACTGTGGAACAGCCCACTGGCAGTTCACTGACAGCTCCGAGCTGCTCTAATTTAGCTCTAAGGTACAGGAGGTCCTGGCTGCTTTAAAATTTATCAGCAAGACAAGATGGGGGAGGAAATATCTTTTTATTGGACCTTCTTCAGATCTGGGAAACTAACTCAGAGTGTCACAGCTAACTAAGCACAAGAGGGAACATATTGTTTAGCACAGTCAGTTAATACATATTGCAAGGGGCCATTCAAGGTGAAGTGACCTGTTAATACCTCTCCAGTCATAGGAAGGGAGGAGGGAAAGGGCAGCTGAAGGGGGTTGTTTAGTGGATTGTAAATTGTAATAAGCCAGAAATCCAGGTTTCCTTTGAGGATGAGGACTGGGAGGTCAGATACAGAGTGATCACTTTGTGAATAGTTTTCACCCACAGATGATAGGGTGTTTTTGTTTTTTATCATTTTTCTGTGCGAGTTCATCTGAGCGCGTAGCGAGTATCTAATTTCAGCCACTTAGTTGCTATTGGGGCATTTAGTGCACTGGATGAGGTACACCACATCTTGTGATAGGCATGTATAGGACCCACGGATCTTGAAATGTGCATTGTGGGGAGTGTTGATCATTGTAGAAACAGAGATATGTCTGCAGGTTTTGCATTTGTTATTGTGTCAGGGTCTGGTGCCACTTTGAGTCGGTGTGCCCTGGTGTGTGGGGAGTTTGCTTCTGATGATGAGCTTGGAGAAGTTGTGGGGGTTGTTTGAAGGCCAGAAGAGGGGGTTCAGGAAAGATTTATTTCAGGATAGGGTCCCCATCAAGTATGGGTTGTAATTTTTCAATGATACCCTGTAAGGTTCCATTGTGGGGTGGTAGGTGACAATTAGGGGGGTATGGTTGGGGGTGGGGGGTTATATTTCTATTGAAGTAGGTTTTCACGGATTATTTGTGTGGCCCGTTCCATGATGTGATCTATTTCTCTGGTGGAGTGTCCTTTGGTGCTTGCACTGGCTTCTACACAGTCCAGAAATAAGGGTAAAACAGGGCAGTTAAAGCCACCGTTGTCCCCTATCCTCCTGGAAGCACAGCACAGATGGGTTTAAATATGTCACAGGATTATGTCTAGAAAGTCCATAGGATTGAGAGCTTTATCAGATCAGGGCAGATTCACCTCCAAACTCTGCAGTCCAATATGCGGCGAATAAGTCTAAGAGTGCATTTTTCTTCATTTAAGTTGTATTTGAATATTTTATGGCTCCATTGCAAAATAAGAAGAGAAATTTACAATGAAGAAATATTATTTAAAATAAATCTTTCACATACAGATATATATTACAGAACACATTGTATATACAGACACAGACAGGACTTACTTACATAACACTGTGTTCCAAATACACGCCAGTTTCCAATTTACATTTATTTATTAAATAATCATAATACCCTTGTCTGAATGTATCAGATAGAGTAGAAGCAACTAATTATCAATATTTATTTGGAAGAAATCTTTCCAGTGCTGTGGAATGTATTTTTAGACCAACTGTGATCAGGATGTCCAAGGGGTTTTGTGTGTTTTTGTTTATTTTCTCTGTAATGCTTGTTGATTTAAATATCAATAAACATGGGCTCACTATAACCCCATCTCCAAGAAATTGTAGATATAATGTATTCCGCGCCCCTGGAAATAAATGCGTAAATCATAGCACAGAAGGATGACTACTGTGACTGGCTTGATATACCCAGCACAATTCAGAGCCCAGCCCTGTATATTTTGACAGATGTTTATATTTCTTTGTGTGGCAAGAAGTTTGAGGCTGGATGAACTCGGTGCAACATGCAGACCGTGTTGTCTTCCAACCTGTGCAAAGTGGCAGTGAATTTTTTTTAATTGCTTTACTAAGTGGTTTATAAGCCAATTAAATGTTTAGCTGGACTAAAAATTGCACATTTATCTAATACCTGGACTAGCTGAAGCTTTAGAAACTCTGTTTTCAAACAGAAGAGGGAGTCAGCTGTCTTGGAAGAGTAGCCAAATGATTGACTTTTGTTAGAACGCTCTTCCTCATCTTTTAATAGCTGAAATTGACTGTTATGACTTTGAAGTTCTCACAATTCATTAAAAGCAATAAAGAATCTATTGGGGATTAAATCATTTGGTCAGTGCGAATCGAATATGTGCTCAGTATTGTACAAGACAAAAATAATATTAATACTCCCCCATTTCCTGTCCCTGTGAGGCTCACAAAGTAAAGGCACCATTCTGCAAATCCTTACAACCCAAGGTAGTGCTTACTACTCACCCCAGTAGTAGGTATTTGCATGATTGGGTCCTAGAACACAGACATAGATCAGGACCAATTACCTCCACCAAAGCTCCCCTCCTATCTACCCTCAACAATTAGCAGTATGGGAAGGACAGGGTGGTTCTGAACCCTTGACACCTGTTTGCAATCCCCAAAGAAAGGCTTTTTTTTTCTTCATCCAATTATTTAATGTTGGGCTGCAGAAGGTATTTGGTCTTTACAGACCTCAGAGAAGAACAGGTCTTAGGAGGAGGTTAAAAAGGGAAAGGGAAGGCCAGCTGCCTTTGTATTGGCTGTGGAGGAAGGCGGAAGATGGGCCTGGAGAAATAAACTCAGAAGGCTGTGAGTGGAGCTGTGCGAATAATGGATTTTCTGGTTCGTTGGCCATTCTGGAAAATTAAAAACACCAAACCGCTTGGGTTGAACTGAAACTTTTCAACATTTTTGGCAAAACAAAAAGTTGGGAAAAAATATAGTGTCAGGTCAAACAAAATGTTCATTTCACTGCTGACCACGTCTGACTATTTTACACATTTTCAAAACAGTCATTTTGAGCTGAAAAATCAAAATGTTTCATCTTTTTTTAAAGGAAACATTTTGATTTTCTCTGAGTCCTTTTTAAGGGATTTTGTTTGTTTTTCTCAGCAATTTCTCACCAATTTGGCAAAACCAAGACAAATTCACGAAATTCACATTGGCCGATTGACATAGAAAGGACATGGGCCATGTTAACAGATCAGAACCAAGGCATAAGCCAGGGCAGAGCTGCACAGGGAAAAGTGAATTAAGAGTTCAAGCTGAGATGGCAAACAAGGGAGAGCAACTTTTTGGTACGGTGTTGTACCACCTGTGGTTAATGAACAACCTCTGTAACTCAGCTGGTGTTTGTTGGTCCTTGAAAGGTCACTTAAGGCAGATTACATGGTAATTCTAATGTTGTTTGACTTGTTTTTTAAAACCCACATATTTGCCTACTGTGTGTCACCTTACTTGGAACAGGTCTATTTGGGACTACGTGTAGAGTGAGGTACCATTCACCAAGAGTAAGGAAAGCAGAATCTGGCCTTTAAAGCTAGTTTATTAAAGACATGAGCTTTCAGACTCAGCAAAGAGCACAGACGAGAGTTTATAGTTTTGTAGTGTGACACCTTTTAAAATTTCATTTGGATTTAGGGGACTTTCCCCCAAACATCTCACAGAGCAGCTTGATTACAAGCTTTTCATACACACAAAAACCAACCAACTTGCTTCTCTTGTTCCGTTCCTAATTAATCATGAGCACACTGAACTGCCAGCAAAACAGGGGGGAAAGGCCACGTTTGAGGAAGCTGTCACTGATGCAGAGTGCCTGCCTAGGAGAGTTGAAGAGTGTCTGATACAGCAGTTCTTTTCCGCATGGCTAATTTGTTTACACTTGTCAGAGAGCACCAGAATGGCAGTGACCTCTATTAACACAATAGCAAATGAGGCCTTGAACCAAATCCAGCTCTGAAATTATGACCAGCCTATACATGGGCAAAAAGAAGGCCTATTATTTTCCCATACTGTACTTCTTGTCTATTCACATCTGAAAGCAGTTTACACCGACCCAGAGGATTAGCGGAAACAGCTATTTTAACTGTCCACTGCACATGAGATTTCCACAGCAAAAATTCCCACGTTAAAGAAATTAGAGCTTTACAGCAGGGGAAATTTTCAGTCAGCTGAGTTATATGGATGAAAAGACAAACTCAGCTCTGAAGCCAGTTATAAAACGAAGATACTAATTACACTATATCCACAATCCATTGCAATGGGCTACTAGGGACTGAGGTAAGTCCTGTGCTATTAGTATGACTTTCCATTTAAGCAACTGAATGGGACACAAAAGCTAAGTGCCACATCCTGCTTCCCCTCCGTGGGTGCACAAGGCCCCAAATGCTGTGGAGATGCCACCTTCCGGCTGAGCAGGATACTAGCTGGTAACCATGCACCAGAAGGGTTCCGCAGCCCTCTGCATGCCACAGAACATGCTACATAGTGGCTCTCTGTGCAGGACTGTGGAAAGGAGCATTGTGGGAGGAGTGGGGAAATGGCAGGGGCTTACTGACCCAATCCCCAACCAAAGCAAGATGGGGCTCTGTCCAATGCTTCTCTCCCTAGCAGCCATAGCCCAGCTAAGCAAGAATCTAGCTGCAGGTTTCAGGGAGGATTCTACCCCACTAACCATGTGCATTCCCCCTTTCAGTTGGACTTTGTGCAGGGAACCACAGTTTGGGTTTATGTGATCTTCTTGTCTTGAACACTCTGGCACATGTTCTCGCATGGCCTACCAGCTGTTTTCAGCAGACAAATACTGTTTGCCATTCCTCGTAACTTTCAAGTAGGTGTGATCTCAGATGTTGCCTGCTGATGATGGAGTCTTTGTGACACAGGCAAGGAGGGTGGCTTCTGACTTTCCATATTAGACCTGAGTGAAAGAAAGGAAATGTTTGTGAAACTGAAATAAAACAATGTGTGTGTGTGAATGCACTCTCAGTACAGAGCGAGGAGATAAACCTACATGGGGAGAGGGCTCTAATCAGCAGCCAAAGATCTAACAAGATCCTAGGGTGTGAAGCTGAAGCTAGACAAATTCAGACTAGAAATAAGATGTAAATTATTCAAAGCGAGGGTAATTAACCACTGGAATGAGTAGGCATTGGCCATCACTTGAAGTCTTTAAATCAAGACTGGATATCTTTTTAGAAGATATGTGCTAGTTCTCCCAGAAGTTATGGGCTTGAATGCAGGAGTCACGGTGAACTTCTCTGGACAGTGTTAAGGAGGAAGTCAGACTAGATGGCCATAAAGGTTCCTAATGGCCTTAAAATCTATGAATCTATGAACTCTGTTGAAATGCATTGGACTAGGGGAGATTTATGGAGGGACAAAATGGAAAAACATTAAGTATTTGTTTTAAAAGGATAGAGATTGTCACTCCTAAGCAGGGCTGGTTGGACTGTCTGACCAGGCCCTGTGCTCTGTGATTCACTCTGCTGTCTCTAAACAGGAAAAGAAAATTAGACTAGGAGCCAAGAGTTCTGGGTTCTATTCCCAGCTCTTCCAATGACCTGCTGAAACTTGGTCAAGTCACTTAAGCACTCTGTACTGCAGCTGCTCTATCTGCAAAATGATACTTAAAGACAGTCAGAGATCTACAGGTGGAAAATGCTATATAAGAGTTATTAATGCAGATTTGTATTAGAAATCTAAAAAAGTGGCATTACAGTCACAGCAACTATTACATTATCTAGCTATAAATCTATTTACACACACCTATATGCATATGTATTCACACACACTCACCTTTCCTAATAGCAGCAGCAGCAGCCACAGATGCCATATTTTCCAGGCTTTATTTCTATCGCTTCAAAAAATGAATTGTGTCCTCTTTCAAATCCCACACAATTATCATAAACCACCTCCAACATGGCATTTCTGTCTGTCCCATTGAGAGATCCTTTGAGGTCCAAGATTATATTCAGATGTTCTTTCCTTTCCAAAAGTACCAGGAATCAGATCAGTAAAACAGAGGAGACAAATATGTCTGCTTGATAAGACCCAATTACACAGGGCCAAGAGCAGAGTCTTGGAAACTGTTAAACTCCAACTGCTGATAAACGGGTTTCTAACACCTATGGCCACCCAGAATGTTATACCTGTATTTAAAATTATGATCTCACCTAGCCAAAGCTGTTCCTAACCCAGTTCTCTAGTAAGAGCAGAGCAGGACTGTTTGATTGTTTGGCAGGTTGGTTTTTATGGTGACTCCACATTTTATTTTTAAGAGCATTTTTTTTACCCTTTCTGCAGAGATGGTGACCTCTTGGTCACCTGGAAGATGTTTTTTTCCCTTGTGTGGTAGTTGCTTGGCTGAATGGGACTGTCACTTATCACCCTATTTAATGATGCGGGCAGTAAGAACCCAAGTCAGATGTGATGTAAGCAGGTGTGATGCCATTGAAGTCAATGACATTGAACCAGCTCTAACTTTGGCCTTAAGAGACTATGATCAGAATGGGTATTTTTCCAAGTATTGTCTGTGCATATAAGTTAACTTGGAAAAATACAGTTACTAAAACAGGACATCAGAAAAATGATGGAAGGAACTGAAGGAAAAAAAACAGAACAGTTTGACAAACTGAGATTAGCTACCATTTCATTTTAGGAACTAAAAGTCAATATTAGTTCCTATTGTCAGTTTCCTATGTGAAATGTAAGTGCTGAATGCATGCTGGATAATGTATAATTAATGACACACAAAAGAACTACGTTAAAAGAAGGTTATGGTTGCCAAGTTAAACATTCAAAAGTTCAGAACTGCCTGAATTAAGGTTGTTCGTACAACGCTAATTTGGCCCCCCTGTGCATGTGCATGATGATGTAGTCTTTAATTACATGATCATATACAACTTTTTTCCCCTGGACCCCTGCCTCCTTCACCCAAATGGTCAACATTTGATAGTTATAATCAGCCAAAACCAGGATCTAATAATAGAGGCAGCCTTCATTATAGATGTTTGTACCAGCTCTGACTATAATAATCCCAAAGCACAGCCAAGAAGGTGCACAGGTAGTGTACTGGATAACAAATATTGTTACAGGATTTATGGCTGTAAATAATCCGCTAAGCAGCCTGAATAACTATAATCCATGCAATGCCTTACCTTATATCTGGAAACTTGAGGAGAAGAAGCACAAGCTGTATTTTCATTGCTTCGATGTCAGTAAGTAGAATAAAATCTAGGATACTTTCAATAGGGTCATCCAGTGAAGCAGTTTTAGGGCCCTAGGGATATAAGAACATATGCATTCAACTGGAGTGGCAGAGGAAGCAGAGTGCAATGTGAAGATCTGGCTTCAGGATCAGACTTGGGTCACCTACTTGTGGACCAGAAAAAGCTATGAGCATTGTAGGGGTTGTGTGGTATTTTCCCCCCAGATGTAAGAATAAAGTAGAATCTAATCATACAACTGCATTAGCAACCCCTACTGGCCAATACATGCAACTGCATTATGGCTGACTTTAAACAAGCCCACCGAAAGAGCAAGGCGGGAAGGGGTGGGGGGGAAATTGGAACAGAAAGCAAGTGAAAAAAGGGTTTGATTCTGCACGGATCTGTGCACTCCTGCAGGACTGAGCCCTATAAATGAAAACAAAGAAATATTACATTTTAATGACATTTGAAAAATGAGGATTGGGATGAACTACCCAGAGTTAGCTTCAGATCTTGCTCACATTTTGAGTAGAAAGGTAATGCGAGTAAATTGCTATTCTGAATTATTTATGCCACAATATCAGCATAACTTCTAAGGCAAAGCAAACCTAGGGAATGTGCTGTTCAAATTACTTCAGGACAAAAACACATTCCCATGATATCACTTAGCACCGAGAATCAGACTGGATTTTCCAGGAGCTAGCACATCTCTGCATTGAACATAAATTCAAAAGATAATATTTAGATTCAACCCTCCTCTCTCTCTTCCTCTGCATTGCAGAAATACAGACTGTCTATAGCTCTGCATACCAAGAAAACTATAATTATTGACGGATTTTGCTCCCTAACATACTCAAACTGTACAATATTCCCGGTTTGTCAAGCTCATCATTATCAAATGTTATTTATTACAGAGTGCCAAAAGGGTCTATACAGAGAGGTAGGAAGATAAGATCCCTGATCTAAAAGGGTCTACTACAACTCAAATAACCAAAGTGTAGGTGACTGAGCAGTAATGCTTAACACAATCTTGTTAGATTTTCTTTTAAAATATATATAATTATTATTCAGCAAACACTTCTTTGAGGAGAGGGCTAGGAGTTTCAAAATGTGTTTTGAGAAGGGACTTGAAAGGGGAAAGCATGTGCACATGGCAGGCTAGGTCAGGAAGCAAGTGCAACCATGGTAGTAACTGCATGCATAAATTAACTGTGCAGTTGAGCATATATTTTGCATGCACAATTGTGCAGCTAACTTGGGTGAACATCAGACCCACATTTTTAAGTATATTTCTTCTAGCAAGGTTTTCAGTGCTAATACCCTGAGCAATGAGAGAGGAAAGAGCATGGGTGAAGGGAGTGGCATTTTACCAACTGCATGCAGAGTTATTCTTCAACCTGTGTATATATATATATATATACACACACAATCATATTATTTTTGATTGCCTATGCATTGCCTAATTTAGATAATAAGATCAGCTCTTCTTCCATGTCTTATACAATGCTGAGCACAGCATGAATGGTAAGTTTAAGAGCTATCTGTTAGAGAATCTTTTTTTCTTTTAATAACATATTTCAGATGGTCTCTGAAAGTTTTAAGGTCTCTTTAAATGGCCTACGTGATACAATAGACCTTAAAAGTACTGGCAGTTTTCATTTTTCCATACGGAGACTAATGGGCTAATTGCAGTGAGTCTGAGCTTTTCCAAGGGAGGCTAAAAAATGTGTTTATTTACACAGAGTTTGAATCACTGACAACCAGCCTACTGCAACTCTCACTGAAGTAGAAAGCAGGATTGCCAAACCCAAGCATTCAAAAATAATGAGGCAGGCCCAAGAAATCATGTGATCGGCTTAAAATTCATAGATTCTTCTAAAAGAATTAATTTGGGGTCTTTTTATTTGCGCCATTTCGTTTCTGAGCCCTTTGGGTTCGTGTTTTCCAGTTTTTCTCTCCAACCATAAGACTAGTAACTTAATTTTTTTAAATGAAAGCTGAGAGCCTGATGTAATCACATGACTCCAGTAGCTGAGGGATTATGGAAAATGCCAGATGTTGAGAGATTTGCTATAAAATCAAAAGTGCTGGCAACACTACGAAAGCCTCTTTTCACATCCCAGACTGCTGTGTGCATGCACTTCCTTCTGATTTCACACAAAACATCCAGCCTCCTTTGGGAATTCATCTGTTCTGGATCCACCTGGCCTCTGCTTTGCTTTATCTTGTACTCACCAGTAATTTGATTGGGAAAATGTATCAGGTAGCCAAGAATTACAATATTTTTAATTATAATACATTACTAGGCCCTCTGCAGTGCATTTCACCCATCTCTCTACATGTGCTTTACAAACCTTAATGATAATCCTGATCCCTCTGAGATAAGTAAAAGAGATACAGCAATCCCTTTACCCACCACTGAAATGCAGTAACTTCTGTAGTGGAACACAGAAGTGTGCAACCACCTGTCAGAGCAGGAAGTGAGAAGGATACCATATCCCACTGAAACTATACTACAGCAGACCTTTGAGTAGAGTGTAGGTTCTATAGGACTCTGCATTGCCCAACTGGCGAGAGCCGCATGGTAGAGCGCATGGACAACATCACCTGCTCTACTGAGGCAATTGCCCCGTGAAGTGCAACAAGCCTAGCTGGTGTAATTAACACCCCTCAATTTTGAGTCTCTCGCTGTTTCCTGTTGCAGGGGAAAGAATAGAAAGCTTGGGGTCCCCCTACATTCCAAAGCTACAAACTAACAATATTTTGCACCACTGATAGCAGATTTGAACTGCCAACATGATGTCTTGAAACATGACTGATGTTTATGTATGGAGATCTGGGTATCAGTTTGTTAAGTGCTCTTGTTTCATTCAGAAATGTGCCGCTCATTGTCCAGGTTCTTGTACTCGGTAGTGGAAAGAGTAAACATAACACTGCAAAGCCAAATCAAAGACTTACGAAGCATTCTTCAAAGAGCGTTCGAATTGCCTGGTGATCCATTTCAATTTTGTTGGCAATTTTCCTCCGCTTTGCAGAAGATGACTTCCCAGAACCAGTTAGGAGAGCCTGAACATACTCAGTGACAATGATGTGATGGACAGTCTGGATGAGGGTCTGTTCCAGACAAAGAAACAAAGATTAGCCTCTTTGTGCTGAGTGTGGCTATGAGTAAAGGCCAGATTCCAGCTAGAAAGACACTGGCCACTTTGGTTTCACTCAGAAGCAGGCCCCAATCTTCCCCCTCTGAGCCCTTTTAAAGAGTCTAGCAGTGCTAGTCTAACACATGGATGTACTAAGGTGGGCACAATCTGCTTAGAGACTATGGGTAATGAGGGCCATGTAAGTACTTAAAGGGAGTGAGAGAGATCTAGCCCTCAATATCACTAAGAAAAGACAGTTCACTGGACAAAACTACAGTTCATTAGCAATTTAAATCAGGTCAGTTTTAAGTTGCAGTCAAAGCACATAGGAAATCTCTAGCACTGTCCCCAAACAAACTTGGCAACACAGAATCAGTCCTGGCTTAGTGTTCTACCCCAGCACTGCTACTCGACATGGCATTCATGTGACACAATGTCCAGTGACAGGTTCTAAAGAGCAAACAGAATGTTGCAATGCTTTTTCTATCTTTGAATTGAAATTAGTGGTGGTGAAAGGTGCCATGTTTACAGACGTGGAATTGGAAGTCTTGTTTTTAACCACAAGACACGCATAGCACAGGCAGCAGCAATGCAAACTTCCCCTATAATGAAAGGGAGGATATCCCAGTGTTTAGGGAACTAGCTGGCTACATGGAAGACCCAAATCCAAATCCCTGCTGTGCCACAGACTTTCTGTGAGACCTTAGGGAAGTTATTTAGTTTCTCTTGGCCTTCATTCTCCACCAATAAAATAAGGATAATAGCAAGTCTCTACTTCATAGGGATGTTCTGAGGATAAATGCATTAAAGATTATGAGGGTTTCAGATACTACAGTAATGGGGGCCTTATAAGTGCTTAGCTAGACAGATTGTTACAGCCATGACCGGGGAGGGAGGAGAACCTTTTAAGGTAGTCCAACTCACTCCTGCCCCCTGTTTCCATGCCCATTCATTTCCTGGCTTCTCTGCTAAGATCACAACAAGAGTTGTAATTGTAATAGTGGTTTATGTGTTGTTGACACTTGTCTGTTAGGAACTGGACTGAGACCATCAGGTCTTCTTCTAAACCATTTGGGGCTAAATGGGAGTTTGGGTTAACTTTGAAATACTTAGCAATCCCAACATCCAATGGCATGGTTTGTGGTGGTTTTTCTTAGTAATATCTTGCTTATTTCTTACCTCATAGGTCTCTGTATTTTTCATCTCAAACCTCGAAAAACTTGACCGTAAACAGTCTAGAAATTTGTCAAAATCACTATTATCTTTTCTGAAGTGATCCTTCAATGCCACCTGAAGAATAGGAAATAACTGAGGTCAATGGCAGGCCATTTAGAAACATCACAGAAGCATCATTTCTGTTTGCTCCATCCACTTTTACAGGTGGAGTCATTCAAGTGCTGCAGCATCTTCTTTTCATTCCTTTGTTTCAAATGATAAGCAAAACGATGAAAGCAGAAACAATTAAAACCCAAAATAGACTAAATTAACATGTTGAGCCAAACACTGAAAGACCTCAGGCTCTGGAAGAGACAAGGTGGGTGAGGTATCTTTTATTGGACCAACTTCTGTTGGTGAGAGAGACAAGCTTTTGAGCTTACATGGAGCTCTTCTTCAGGTCTGGGAAACTTACTCAGAGTGTCACAGCTAAATACAAGATGGAACAGATTGTTTAGCATAAATAGTTAACACATATTTCCAGAGACCATTTAAGGTGAAGTGGCCCATTAAAACCCCTCCAATCATAGGGAGGAATGGGTGGGGAGGTTGTTAATGGGTTATAGATTTTTTGTAATAAGCCATAAATCCAGGTCTCCATTCAGTCCATGATTTTTAGTGTCTAGCAAAGTTATGAATTTAAGCTCCCAGACTCATCGTCTGAAAGTGTTGTGCAGGTTTCCTTTGAGGATGAGGACTGATAGGCCAGATATAGCATAATCGCTTTGTGAAAAGTGTTCACCGACAGATGATAGGGTGTTTTTGTCTTTTATCATTTTCCTGGGTGAATGCATGCAAGACTGTAGTAACTGTCTGCTTTCACCCACATAGTTGCTACTGGAGCATTTACTCTGTGAGTTGAGGGGTGAAAACATTATCCACTGGATGAGGTACACCACCTGTTGTGATAGGCATATGTAGGATACATGGATCTTGAAAGGTGTGTTGTAGGTTGTGTTGATCATTACAGCAGTGGAGATATGTCTGCAGTGGAGATATGTCTCTTGTTCTGGCAGGGTCTGGTTCTGTTTTAAGTTGGTGTGTCCTGGTCTATGGGGAGCTGAAGAAGACCTCTGAGTAAGCTCCAAAGTTTGTTTCTCTCATCCACAGAAGTTGGTCCAATAAAAGATATTACCTCACCCACCTTGTCTCTCTAATATCCTGGGACCAACACGGCTACAACAACATTGCATGCAATAATGGAAGATACCTAATTTTGCCATCTGAAATGGAAACTACACAACATAAAGAAAAAGGAAGCAAAACTTACCACGACATCTACTTCCTGAGCAAATACAAGAAACAAAACATTATCCCCAGCGGTCTCATCATCTAACACACTCTTGACCACTACATACAACTCCAAATATGCTGAACAGCTCGGCAGATGGACTTCAGAAAAACTGAGGAACCACTTACTGCACCTCACATGCTTCAGGAGGAACCACCTCAAACAAGAAATCATCACATACTCCCACACACTGAGATATATTAATGATATTTTCATCCTCTGGAAAGACGACCTACGTGCCTCATAGATTTCCATCACAACTTCAACAACCACCACCCATCCATTAAACTACCTCTGGAACACTCCCACACCAGCATCAACTTCTTGCACACCACAATCAGCTTCAACAATGGAATCCTACACACAACTATATACAAGAAACCCTTGGATCACCACACCGACCTTCATAGATCCAGTCATCATCCCAAACACACCAAGAAATCTAATCTATAGCAAGACACTCAGGCCATGTCTACACTTACAAGCTTACAACAGCACAGCTGTATCGATACTGCTGTACCGCTGTAAGATCAATGGTGTAGCCACATTATGCCAATGGGAGAGAGCTCTCTCATCAACATAATAAAACCAGCTCAACAAGCAGCTGTAGCTATGTCGGTGGGAGAGCATCTCCCACTGACGTAGCACTGTGCACATGAGCACTTATGCCGGCAAAACTTATGTCGCTCAAAGGGGTGTTTTTTCACATTCCTGAGCAATAAAAGTTTTGCCGACATAAGTGCTAGTGTAGACATAGCTTCAGATACCACAGAATATGCTCAAAGAAGAGAGTCTAGGATATACATCTTAACACACTCAAAATCACCTTCACCAAACAAGGACACTGCAGCAGACATGCAGATCGCATCATGGAATGGGCCACCCAAATATCCCAAGAGAACCTGCTCCAATACAGAAATAAAACTCCTTCTAACCATATATCCCTAGTTGTTATCTACCACCCCACACTAGAACCCATATGGGGTATAAACAAATAACTACAAGCCATACTCAATGGGGACCCCATCCTGAAAGAAATTTTTCCTGAACCCCTTCTTCTGGCCTTCAAACAATGCCCAGTATCGCCAGGAGTATCATCAGGAGCAAGTTCTCCACAGACAAGGCCACACCAATTCAAAGCGAGACCAGACCCTGCCAGAATAACAGATGCAAAACATGCAGACATATCTCCACTGCTAAAATGATCAACACCCCCTTCCCCAACACATCTTACAAAATCCATGGTTCCTACACATGCCTATCACAACATGTGGTGTGCCTGTGCAATAAATGCCCCAATAGCAACTACGTGGATGAAACCAGACAATCACTGTGCTCCCAATGAACTCACACAGGACAATGATAAAAGACAGAAACACCCTATCACCTGTGGGTGAACACTTTTCACAAAGCGATCACTCTATAGCTGACCTGATGTGATTGCAGAGCCATTGGCCATTATCTTTGAAAACTTGTAGCGATAGGGGGAGGTCCCAAACAATTGGAAAAAGGCAAATATAGTGCTCATCTTTAAAAAAGGGAAGAAGGAGAATCCGGGGAACTACAGTCCGGTCAGCCTCACCTCAGTCCCTTGAAAAATCAGGGAGCAGGTCCTCAAGGAATCCATTTTGAAGCACTTGGAGGAGAGGAAGGTGATCAGGAACAGTCAACATGGCTTCACCAAGGGCAAGTCATGCCTGACCTACCTGATTGCCTTCTATGATGAGATAACTGGCTCTGTGGATATGGGGAAAGTGGTGGACGTGATATACCTTGACTTTAGCAAAGCTTTTGATACAGTCTCCCACAGTATTCTTGCCAGCAAGTTAAAAAATTATGGATTGGATGAATGGAGTAAAGGTAGATAGAAAACTGGCTAGATCATCGGGCTCAATGGGTAATGATCAACGGCTCAATGTCTAGTTGGCAGCCGATATCAAGTGGAGTGCCCCAGGGTTTGGTTCTGGGTCCAGTTTTGTTCAACATCTTCATTAATGATCTGGATGATGGGATGGATTGCACCCTCAGCAAGTTTGCGGATGACACTAAGCTGTGGGGAGAGGTAGACATCCTGGAGGGTAGGGATAGGGTCCAGAGTGACCTAGACAGATTGGAGGATTGGGCCAAAAGAAATCTGATGAGGCAGAGTTCTGCACTCAGGACTGAAGAATCCCATACACTACTACAGGCTGAGGACCAACTGGCTAAGCGGCAGTTCTGCAGAAAAGGACCTGGGGATTATGGTGGACGAGAAGCTGGATATGACTCAACAGTGTGCCCTTGTTGCCAAGAAGGCTAACGGCATATTGGGCTGCATTAGTATTGCCAACAGATCGAGGGAAGTGATTATTTCCCTCTCTTCGGCACTGGTGAGGCCACATCTGGAGTATTGCATCCAGTTTTGGGCCCCCCACTACAGAAAGGATGTGGACAAATTGAGAGAGTCCAGGGGAGGGCAACGAAAATGATTAGGGGGCAGGGGCACATGACTTACAAGGAGAGGGTGAGGGAACTGGGCTTATTTAGTCTGCAGAAGAGAAGAGTCAGGAGGGATTTGATAGCAGCCTTCAACTGCTCAAGATAGTTAGGACCAAAGCAGACTGTGAAGAACTTCAAAAAGATCTCACAAAACTAAGTGATTGGGCAACAAAATGGCAAATGAAATTTAATGTGGATAAATGTAAAGTAAATTATTGGAAAAAATAACCCCAGCTATACCTACAATATGATGGGGGCTAATTTAGCTACCACAAATCAGGAAAAAGATCTTGGAGTCATCGTGGATAGTTCTCTGAAGACGTCCACGCAGTGTGCAGAGGCAGTCAAAAAAGCAAACAGGATGTTAGGAATCATTAAAAAGGGGATAGAGAATAAGACGGAGAATATATTATTGCCCTTATATAAATCGATGGTACGCCCACATCTTGAATACTGTGTACAGATGTGGTCTCCTCATCTCAAAAAAGATATACTGGCACTAGAAAAGGTTCAGAGAAGGGCAACTAAAATGATTAGGGGTTTGGAACGGGTCCCATATGAGGACAGATTACAGAGACTAGGACTGTTCAGCTTGGAAAAGAGGAGACTAAGGGGGGATATGATAGAGGTATATAAAATCATGAGTGATGTGGAGAAAGTAGATAAGGAAAAGTTATTTACTTATTCCCATAATACAAGAACTAGGGGCCACCAAATGAAATTAAGAGGCAGCAGGTTTAAAACAAATAAAAGGAAGTTCTTCTTCACACAGCTCAGTCAAGTTGTGGAACTCCTTGCCTGAGGAGGTTGTGAAGGCTAGGACTATAACAGCATTTAAAAGAGAACTAGATAAATTCATGGAGGTTAAGTCCATTAATGGCTATTAGCCAGGATGGGTAAGGAATGGTGTCCCTAGCCTCTGTTTGTCAGAGGGTGGAGATGGATGGCAGGAGAAAGATCACTTGATCATTACCTGTTAGGTTCACTCCCTCTGGGGCACCTGGCATTGGCCACTGTCGGTAGACAGGATACTGGGCTAGATGGACCTTTTGTCTGACCCAGTATGGCCATTCTTATGTAACTACCTGAAGGGGGGTTCCAATGTGGATGGAGCTAGGCTGTTCTCAGTGATGGCAGATGACAGAACAAGAAGCAATGGTCTCAAGTTGCAGTGAGGAAGGGCTATGTTGGATATGAGGAAAAACTATTTCACTAGGCGGGTGGTCAAGCACTGGAATGGGTTACCTAGGGAGTGGTGGAATTTCCATCCTTAGAGATTTTAAAGGCCCGGCTTGACAAAGCCCTGGCTGGGATGATTTAGTTGGAGTTGGTTCTGCTTTGAGCAGCGGGTAGGACTAGATGACCTCCTGAGGTCTCTTCCAACCCTAATCTTCTATGATTCTATGACCTCTCAGTCCTCATCCTCAACGAAACCTGCACAACACTTTCAAAAGACGAGTCTGGGATCTTAAATTCATGACTTTGCTAGACACTAAAAATCATGGACTGAATAGAAACACGGCATTTATCGCTTACTAGAACAATCTGTAATCCACTAATAATGCCCCCCTCCCCCAGCTGCTTCCCCCCCTCTTCCTTTCTTCTCTATGAGTGGAGGGGTGTTAACGGACCACTTCACCTTCAATGGTCCCTTGAAATATGTGTTAACAATTAAACAATCTGTTCCATCTTGCATTAGGTGTGACATTCACTCTGGGGGCTTGTCTACCCGTACAGCACTGCAGCTGTAGCACTTTAGTGAAGATGCCACTGCACTGATGGGACAGCTTCTGTCAGTGCAATTAATCCACCTCCATGAGAAGCAGTAGCTATGTTAACAGGAAAAGCTCTCCCATCAGCATAGTGCTGTCTATACAGGCTTTAGGTTGGCATAACTATGTTGCTATGGGGTATGGATTTTTCACACACCTGAGCAACGTAGTTATACCAATGGAAGTTCAGGGGTGCTGAAACAATTTGTATAGTGCAGGTGCTGAGAGCCATTGAACCAAACTGTAAACCCTGTATATGAGGGAAACCACTTCAAGCCAGGGGATGCTGCAGCATCCACCCCACCTCCCACCCCCGTGCATCCTTAGTTCCAGGGCCTATGTGTAAGTCTGTAGTGTTGGCCCGGCCTGAAAAAGTTTCCCAGTCCAGAAAAAGAGCTCTGTGTAAGCTCGACATTTTGTCTCTCTCACCAACAGAAGCTGGTCCAATAAAAGATATTACCTCACCCACATTGTCGCTCTGATATCCTGGGACCAGCACGGCTATAACAACACTTCATAAGACTGTGAAGGGAAAAAGCCTCTCAGTGGAGCAATAGCTATATCAGTGAGGCTATGCAGGATGTGCCCTCACAGATTAGGATCACAGGAACTGCCAAACTGGATCAACCCTGTGGTTCATCTAGTCCAACATCCTATCTCCAGCAACAGTCAGCACCAGATGCTTCAGAGGAAGGTACAAGAACCCTGCAGCAGGCATATGCGAGATAATATGCCCTCCATATTAAGTCTCATCCTGATCTCTAACAGTCAGAGACTGACTTAAGGCCTGAAGCATGAGGTTTAAAATCCCTTCCCAAATTTTGTTTCCATCAGCTATTATAACTCTGGAAATTCTTGATCTCCAGATAAGCGTCCAGGTGCTTTTTGAATCTTGCTAAATTCTTGGCTTTAATGACTTACTGTGGCAATGAGTTCCACAGTCTAATTGTGCACCATGTAGAAAAGTATTTCTTTTATCAGTTTTGAATTTGCCACCTTTCAGTGTCACCAAATGTCCCCTCATTCTTGAGTTATGAGATATGGAGAACAGAAGCCCTCAATCTACCTTCTCTGTACCTAGGATTAACCAAGGGGGCACGCACACACACACACACACACACACACACACACAGGCTTTGACAGCCATCTGATATGTTTGTAGTGGTCTTCAGCTTTGTGAAGAAGTGAACAACACACCAAAGATCAATGGCATCACATTATTTAACTTTGTTCATTGAGAAATTCATAGCCATTAGAAATTAATATTTTTTGCTTCAGCTCTTGGGATTTGAATACAGGCGGGCAGCCATTGGTGCACCTTTAGTAATAGCAGAAAAGATTATGGCTCCAAAAAGCATTGTATTAGAATCCTGAATGATTAAATATACAGAAGCTCCAAGATACAGATCTAAAATATATCAATTCATCAGTCCTGCAGACAAAGCCATACATCATCCCCAGGATCAGGATAGGAACATCTGCCTGACAGCATGAAAACATCATTAAATGTTAACACTGGTCTCAAATACCTTGACTTTAGAAGTAATTGCCTGCAGAAGAAGTTCTCTACTCTGTTCTTCTGTACTGTCTATAAATTCCTTCACTTTAGCATCAGTGTCAGCACTAGCACTGTAGATGTAGGTTAGCTTATGCCAAGCAGCTCTGTACAAAAAAAAAAAGGCACATAGGGCCATATTTTCAGTCAATGGTCTCTTAAGGCCTGATCCAACTCCCATTTGAGTCAATGGGATTTTTTTCAAATGGTTAAAGGTTGTTACATGTTTAACTGCATCACTGGATGAGGGCCTAAGTGCCCAATTACTTGTGCATATATTTTTGAGTTCTCTCGTTAATGTGTGCAACTTTACACAAACAAATGCCACTTGTACATGCAAATCAAACATAAATGGGTTTTGCAAATGCAAATTCTGTCATTTTCCCAAATGAGAGGACACAAAAAATAGCCCACAAACAGGATTTGCACATATAAGACAGCTTGCAGATAAACGGAGACTGGGTCAGGGATCCTTTGTACGTTTGGCACATAACAAATGCAAATTGAATAGCACCGTACATTAAGAAGGCCAAAGCTTCAGGCAAAAAATGCAGACATATACAATCAGAGCATTCTTCAAATCTACATAATCATGCAAGTCCCAAGTTAAGATGTTCACAAATCAGAAATCATCATTTTTATTTTCTGGAAAAGGTTAATGTGGAATTTTTAGTTTCACATTTTAAAAGAACAATATAAATATTTTCTACTCAGTGGAGCCAACATAAATCTTCAGTTTAGGAGTCACAGTGTTAGCAACATATCATGGGACTCTTGCCTTCACTGTAAGCAACATATCACAGCGCATATATTATGAAAGAAAAAATTACTTGCACATGACTGACTCCAAAATTAAAGTAAACACTATGGCTATTTTTGGGGTTAAGGTTTTTTGGTTGACTCCAGCAGATCCCCAGGTAATCTTAAAACCACTTTAAAAATCTGGTAATCCCCAGAAAAACCACCAGTGAGCCTGTTTTCACCACTGTCACAAGCATTACTGAATTGAGCATTTTGGTGCCTAGAACCTCCTCTCTCCTTTTATGCTTTGCTGCTTCCTGTTCCTTTTAACAAAAAGAGGTAAGATGTAGGGTGTTCATATAGGGCTTGATCCAGCAAAGCACTTAAGCTCTTGCTTAACTTTAAGCACTCAAGTAGTCTCATTGACTTCAATGGGAGCTAGATGAGGCCCATAAAGCAGAAAATTCACTTCCCTTCACATGTCACACTGTTCTGTTTTCTCACCTGAAAATGCAGCAGTTCTCAAGTATTTGCAAATTGCTGTAGGTCTCAGAAAAGGTGTCAAGTTGGAAAAGGCTTCTTACTTCATGTTTATAGCTAGGTAAAACAAAGTAACAAAGACACGTTTAAATAGCAAGGTCTGCCAACATTACAGAATCGGATAGCCTGGCAGCAAACAGACGAAATATTCCATTAATACTTTGATTCTTAGCGTGCACAGTTTTATTCTTCTAGATGCTTTCTAGAATAGGAAAAAGATACAGTCCCTGCCCTAAGTAGCTGGGAGGGATAGGGAAGTGTTAAAGTAATAAGACTGGGATGTTACTCAGGTTAGGCATGTGTCATTGTAATGGTTCTGGGGATTTTGTGTGTTAATTTTTTTAAATACTTGCTCTTCGTAAGCGACAAAGCAAAAGGGACTTGCCCGAAACCTCGTGCACTTCTAGAAGACTCAATGTGCATGAGTAATCAGTGAAATCTGGTGAGAGCTTGAGTCCTTCAGATTTATAGCACTGCTGGGCAACTCACGCTTGAACTTAATTCCTTCCCTCTGTTAATTTAAAGGGACAGTGAACTTTAAAAGAAAAAAAATCACACTCCTTTCTGAAAATATATTGCCTACAAGTAGTAGTACAGGACTCTCTGCTGGATGGGATACAGTGAGAGACCCATACTGGAAAAAGAAGAGAAGGAAGGAGCCAGAAGAAATGATAAGTCCCCATCCCTGTTATAGAGAATGGCAGGTGGGAATACAGAGACAGCGCACTCATCCTCCTCCAAGAAACAAGAGGAGGGACCAGAGCTCTGTCCTCTCAGCAGCTAGAAATGAGAAGAGAAATATGGGAGATTGTTGTTATGGAAAAATTAACCCACCAATTACATTCCCAGCAAAATAGACATAGGACAATAAATACTTAGATATTTGGTTATCATTTATTCAGTACTCAGACAAAGCACATTAGCCAGCAAAAGAAAAAAGAAAAAAAGCACACCTAAGAACATAAGAACGGCCATACTGGATCAAATGAAAGGTCCATCTAGCCCAGTATCTTGTTTTCCGACAGTGGCCTATGCCAGGTACTTCAGAGGGAATGAACAGAACAGATAATCATCAAGTCATCCATTCCCAGCTTCTGGCAAACAGATACTACGGACAGCTGTCCAATTTTTTGAAATATTAACGTTTGTAATAAATGTCTTGTTTGATAAATGTATAATCAAAAGCATCACTCGGTTTAAGAAAACCACCAGAAACAACACACCCTGGGGAGTGTATGGTAAAAGCCTGTTAAATAGAGAGACCCGATTATTATATTAATGTAGAATGGTTCTCTAAACAAAATCTCACTGTTGTACTGATTATTGTGTTGTCTCTGATGAGGGTGCAGTACTTTATTCAAGTGGGAAAGGGTTAGGAGGAGGCAGTGTCCTCTGCTTTTAGTAACTAAGAGTGGGAAAAGAGTCTTCTCTCCGAACAGTTAGGAAAGAGAGTTTAAAAAAAAAAACCTTACTTGTGATTTAGTGAGAGCCTTATTCTGGGCCTGATCCCAAACCATTAAAATCAATCAGAGTCTTTCCATTGACTTCAGCAGTCATTGGATGAGGCCCTCAGACCCCAGAATGTACATGGCACTGGTACATTACTGGTACACATACAACACACCTGACCTGGGTACTAACAGGGTGTGAAATGTCCTTTTCTATTGTTTCCCAGAATAAATGTTGACCCAAGTACTTAAGAAAACCAAAAAAGTCCAGAGGAATAAAATCTCCAAGAAAGGTGATGAAACTTGAGTCTGGCAGCTTGATGAGAACTTGCTATAAAATGGGGTAATAAATAGGGAATTGGGAAATAAAAATAGGTTCAGACAAACAAAAAGTCACCAATAAATCTGCTACCATTTCTTCTTTCTTTTACTGACGATGGGTCAATGCAGAAAAAGATGGGCCTCTTACCTATGCAGAAAATGCAGAAGTTCTTCCAAACATACAGCTTCCACCTTGTCTTTTATGGTATCACTGATATGCTGGACTGCCTGTGCCCTCCCTGTTAATACCTGTCGATTTAAGTAGTGATAGAACATTCTGAAGTTATTCAAATGTCATTAGGTGCACATGATTTCTCACACCTCCTTCACCTTTGAAAGTCCCTCCATCTTCTTAGGGAATGATTTAGTTCCTCGTTTTAAAAATCCTCATGTGAATAAAAATACTCCCTAGGGTCTAGATTTGGAGACTCAGACTCACAGTGAATAGTATGTTACTCCACAAATGCTTCTGCTGAAGTTGGTAGGACTTCCTGTGCAGTAAGGTGCCACTCAGTGCGAATAAGAGTGGAAGAATCTGGCCTCACGTTGGGGCATTACTAATAATACTCAGCTGCAGGGCCCAATTCATACAATATTTGCCATCTTCATTTCTGTGGGGTTTGCCAGCAACTTTAGCATGACCTTGTATTTGAATAGATATGACTATATAGAGAAATGCCATCTTCGACGATAAAAAGATGCTGTCATAACTATAAAGGGAAGGGTAACAGCTGTCCTGTGTACAGTACTATAAAATCCCTCCTGGCCAGAGACTCCAAAATCCTTTTCCCTGTAAAGGGTTAAGAAGCTCAGGTAACCTGGCTGGCATCTGACCTAAAGGACCAATAAGGGGACAAGATACTTTCAAATCTTGGGGCGGGGAAGGCTTTTGTTTGTGTTCTTTGTTTGTGAGTGCGTTAGTTCTCGGGACTGAGAGGGACCAGACATCATTCCAGCTTCTCCCCATCTTCCTAACCAAGCCCCTCCTTTTTCAACCTTCTAAGTAAATGGCCAG